ACATAAAGTTTGGTTCACCCAATGGTACTGTTCCCAATGAAATAAGTAACAGGAATTGAGAGTAAGGATTTAAAACTTTATATAACAATTTCACATCAACATAACATTTAATCCAAACATAATTTTGGTCTGTCAAATGTAATAATAAAAAAATGCAACTTTATTTTGCACATCGTTTAACTTAATTTTACTTTCCAATGAGTTATTTTTATTGTATTTTACAAATATTGGTACATGACAGATTGAGAATAAAAGTGGTCTCCCCCCAGGTATAAATTGATAAACATTGCTGTAAAGTCTCTAATGCTAATAACTATTTCCTGAATATTTAAATGTAGTTTTGGCAAGACTGAGTGTTACCAAATCAAGTTTTGAAGTCTTCCACTACCTCTTTCAGAATCATGTATATATAATGGCCATAATGCATATTCAAAAAACATAGCCCAGACTCTGTTGGTTTGTAAGCTCCTCTGGAGTTTCCCAGGTGTAATCTGAAACTGGCCCCAGTACTCAGAGGGCAGCGAGAGATGGAAGAAAGAGGCTGGCCACTCCAGGTGGGTAGGTGTCAGGTTTAAGGAGTAAAAGGAACTTAGATACAAGGCTTGTCTTAGGCAGCAGTGAAATGAGTAGATCTCTACCGGCTTGCCAAATCTTAAAGGTTTCTATAGAAGCCTTAACTGGGTTCAGTCATGTATACCATCCAGACAGTCTCAACACCACATCATTATCTCAAGGCTGTGTCTTTGCAGCATCCTCTGGGAATGGGGAAAGCAAGGGGAGCCCACATTCCAAGGACAGGGGAGGAGGTGAGGAACCTCCAATTGCCCAGGTGCAGCTAATGGATCAACCAATGATCACATCTTTTCTTCTCTGTGACCTTCCCCAACAGACGTAACCTTTGATCTAGATGCGGGCAACCATTATTGTCCTCCATTGGGATTCATTTGCTTAGCCACCTTGAAATGCTCTGAAACTCTGAAGTTGTGTTAAACTGTCAAAAAGCAAATGAATGCCAATAAGTCTTATTTTGGCAATTTGCATATACAAAAAAATCTAAGAAAATGGAAATCATTTCAAGAAAAAAATTGTTTACATATTCTTGAGTGAAATGACAGGTCTCTGCTTTCATTAATAATGGAGAGGATACTTTACTGTTTCACAATCTTGTGACAAAATTAAATAATAGATCAAGAAATCCCTGTAGAAAAAGATGTAGAAACAGACCAAATTGGGGAGTTACTTATGGTGACCTGGTCAATTTTTCTTTTTTCTTTTTTTCTTTTTTCTTTTTTCATAGCCTTAGCTCGGTAGCTAAAGCTAATTGATGAATAAGCAAAACTGAATAAAACAAGGAATTCAGAGATATTTATTGTCATCTGTGCTAACATTCTTTTGAACCACAACCTGCTGTCTGCTATTCATTGTTTCTTAAGAGAAAAGGCAGTGTCATGAATTGGTAAGGACATCAGACCATGTGAAAAGGACATGAGTTCTATTTCAAGCCTGTGGACTTGAGCAAGCCAAAGCTACTCCTTTAACCTCTTTTTTCCCCCCATTTATTAAATGATCAGATTGAAGAAGATGTCCCTTAAGGCCCATTCTGGAGCTAAATCATCATGAAAATTTAAGTTAAAAAAGTTTTCTTAAAGTTCTTTTAGATTGCAATTCTCACATGAGACTTTTTTTCTGAAAAGTTAACAGGGAAGTGCTCTTTGGTTCATAGTGCCAAAGCACCTTTTGAAAGTGGCCATCAATTTACATAAACCTGATACATAGATAACATTAAAAGTAAAAATATGAATGTATAATTGTATAAAAAATAAATGTATGTATTCTTTTAAAGTTCATTCTATGTCAAGCCAACAGATATATTCAAGACTAATACCACATTTCAAAGGATGGACTTACTTAACAAATAACACTACCCAATGCTTTACTTTTTCTGTGAGTATAAATTAAGGAATCACACCATCCAGTGCTATCATGTGTCTGTGAATACAGATTAAGGAGTTGGCCTTGTTGTTTGAATTTGGATTCAGAAAATAGCTTACTGGGCACTCCCTTATGTACTAAGCTCTGTGAGTTGATCACACATCATTTTGAGAAGCTGCAATGAATTCTGCAGTTGGAGAATTTGGAAATGGATTTGAATCAGGATAAACTAATTCATTGCTACCTAGAGAAAATGAAAAGATCTGTACAGTACGCTGGGATAGTGGGTTGGCTGGTTGTGGTTAGTTAGCCTGATCGAGGACAAAGGGGTGTAGAATGCTGGGCAAATTCCAACCCATTCAGGGGACTGCCTTCTGTTGCCGCTCCTCTCTGAGAAGTTCGGGGTTAATGCAGGAACTCCCAATCCATGGGACATATATCTCTCATGGAACTTAAGTAGATCTAGGTGTGTAGGATCCAGAAATTCTTTGTAAGAAAATGATTCTTTTCCTATTTCTGTCTCAATTCCGATCATTCCCAGAAAAGAAAAAAAAAAAAAAAGCCTCCATCTGGTGCTAGTGAGATTCTCACACCTCTCTTAATTACGAATCTCATTTGTAACTGAGAAAAAGTCAACCATGAGAGTCAATGCCTTTTTAAACAAACAGTACCTAGGTATAATTTAATAACACTGATTTGTTGTTTCCTGTTCTTACGGTAAGTAACCTATTTATGCCAAGTAATACCAGCTTTTTAGTTTGGTAGCAACAGAAAGTTACTTTTTAAATAAACTTATTTAAGGACAAAGGTATGTTGATTTAAAGAAAGCTTTTCAGTAAACAAAAAGTTGTACGTGGCTGGCAAAAATTTCTCAGGTGATATGCAGGTGATTGAAGCTTGGGAAACATTGGGCTAGTGAGAAGCACACTGAGCTAGAAGATAGGAAACTTGGTCACCAAATCTAATTCCAATCCTGTCACTAATTATCTGATTGTCCTTGGGCAAGATGATGCATCTTCATGGCTCCGTTTCCTCATTATCCAATGAATATATTGATATTTGCCAAGCTACCTTTGGAATGATGTAAAGATTAAAATTAAATGATGGGTAGTAAAATAGTATAATAGTTATATAGGGGCTCCTCAGTGGCACAGTGCGTTGTGTCTGACTCTTGGTTTTGGCTCAGGTCCTGATCTCAGTGGCATGAGATCGAGCCCCATGTCCAGCTCATGCTCAGCACAGAGTCTGCCTCAAATTCTCTCTCCCTCTCCCATGGCCCCTCCCACTCATGCTCTCTCTGTCTCTCCCTAAAATATATAGAAAATTTTTTAAAAGTTGTATGTATATAAGATTCTTTATTATGTCTCTAAAACACCACTTTTTATTTTCTTTTTTTCTTCCCATTACCCCAGCAAAAACAAACAAACAAAAAAATAGAACAAAAACATGAACATGACCACTTAGGAAAGGATAATAATATTATCTCTGTTTTTGCTCTAGGATCATGCCATTTTTTTAGTAGTGTGTGTGTGTGTGTGTGTGTGTGTGTGTGTGTGTGTTAGAGAGGGGGAGAGAAACTGACTACAGTTGCACAGTTTCTACACTTACACTATTCCTAAACACTAAAGCTGTGTTGTCTTTTTCTGAATGAATATATGTTTATTTTTACCATTTTCCATGGTGATAAACTAAACTGTTAAAAAATTTAATGTAATAATACATCTTATTAATCTCAAAGCTTAATAAAAATATTATGACCTATCTGAATATTTAGAACTGTTAAAAACAATAGTTTCATACCAAAATTGTTTTTTGTCTTGAAATAATATTTGGAATCTTGCTTGTATTTTTTTCATTGTGCCTAAAACCTCAAATTTTCTAGAATATGAGATCTCTTTACAAAAGATGTTTCGCTGTTCCATAATGTCATTTCCTATAGATTTCAGAATTTCTTTTTCCAATCTAATCTTGCTTATCCTTGAAGTTAAGGTTGTTGTTTTGGTTAAAATATAAAGGTGCAGTTAAATATATGATATATTTTGATCTTAATGGCTAATATGCCAGGTTTATGGCTGTTTTATCTTGATACATATATACAACTAAGTCCCAACACTAATTCCTTGTGTGAAAGAGAGAACATTCATGGACATAGAGATAATGCTAGTGATTGTTTGGGTTCCCATTCTATTAAGGAAATGTACTTAGCACTATTGCTATTGGATTAGAAAATGATAGACATCATAATCTCACTCAAACATTAACATGTTTGGTGTAGGATAGCAATTCCCAAACTTGCCCAGTCATCAGAATCACCTGGAGGGCTGGCCAAAACACAGCTTGCTTGTCCCACCCTCAAGTTTCTGATTCAATGGTTCTGGGGTAAGGCCTGAGAATTTGCATTTTTAGCAAATTCCACAGTGATGCTGAGGCCAATGTGGTTCCCATCCTACCCCCCCAGCCTTTTTGTCAAGTGGAAGGTAGTAGAGCAGGACAGTGAAGCCTATAGACTTAGGTGATACCCCACAGACTTTGGTGATAGCCCCAGAGTTGAGCCCTGGTTTTGATACTTATGAACCCTGTAACTTGGACAAGTTAGGGATCAATTTTGTCTTCTGTAAAATGATAACAATTATATTTATTAGGAATATTGAATAAAATAATGCATGTTAATTGTGTAGAACAATGCTTAGCCCTGTAATGAGTGCTTACTAAATGCAACGTTTGTAACTAGTAGTGATGGTAATTGGAGCAGTGAGAGTAGAAGCAGTAGTTAGTGGTAATAGAAAAGAATACACATGTTTCCTTTGTTCAGTTGCAATAAAAGTTTATTTTTCTTTCCTAAGGAGGCTGGGCAGAAAGCTTGCTTTTCATTTATGACATTGTTTCTATGAGAAACACTCAGCAAGAAGGGAATTCGTTGAAAAGAAGTAATGCCCTTAGTAAAAGAATGTTCAGGAGTGTGTTGAAGTTGGGAATCCATATTGTAGTTCAAGCAAAAGTCTATCCATTTGTGCAAGAGGTTTTTCAATATTCAGAACCTAATGCATTTGTTTCTTTCCTTCCCTTAGCAACAAGAGCAAGACCCAACAAACCTATACATCTCAAATCTCCCCATTTCTATGGATGAGCAGGAACTTGAAAATATGCTGAAACCCTTCGGACATGTCATTTCCACAAGAATACTAAGAGATGCTAATGGAGTCAGCAGGGGCGTTGGCTTTGCCAGGTAAAACACTTGCTACGTACATGTACATGTATTACTTGTGTTTCCTCCTTATTCCCTTTTAATTCCATTCCTTTCTAGAACTAGGACCCAAAGCAATAGACTATTTTACCCTCTCCCTGCAAAAAAGTAGCTTTTCAAACCGACTCTCTATCTTTGCTTCAATCCAAAGAATTCCAATGTAATTATAAATATGTTGTGCTTGCTAAAATCTGTATGTACAAAGAATGGTTATATGTGTCTCAGGTCATAATGATATGTATACCCAGTTCCCAATTCTCTCTTCTAGATTAGCAAAATCAGATGCTGCCAATTTCTGCTGGTGGTAATAAATGCCCAATACCCCAAAGCTAAAGAGCCCATGTGGTGAACAAAGCATCCAAATGTTTTTGCATTGATTTCCAAAGAATGAGACGATAGAATTTCTCAGTCAAGAAAAGGAAGAGAAGAAAGATTTCGAGAAACAAGAATTGTTGGGAAGTCCCAAGGAACCCAGACATATAAAGTGGGGGGATTAGGAGGGTATTTGCATTTAAGAGGCCCTGGCTGTGTGGTTTTGATGTTTTACACAGAACAGAAAAAAGCAAATTGCACTTTTTTCATTGTCAGAAAAGGAAAAGTAGTTTTCATCTTAACTTTAAGGGATGTTTACAAAGGAAGATCTCAGCCAGGAACGGAGTTAAAATGGTTGCACCTGCTGTGCTTTCATGAAAAACAAAGCAAAAGAAACCGCAGAGAAAAACTGCTCAACAACAAAGAACGAGAGTAAAAGCCGTGTCTCCATGGCTTGGTGTGTTTATGTGTCTCCAGCTGACTTAACGTGGATGAGTGAATGGATGCTAGAGTCATTGGGAAGTCAGCCCTTTGCAGACAGGTGTGTCCATCTATAATAAACCCTGCCATTACCTGGAAACCATTCCAAACCAACTTTTATTAACACACTTTGAAAGATAGCAAATTGTAGGGGCGCCTGGGTGGCTCATTCAGTTAGACATCTGACTCTTGACTTTGGCTTGGGTCATGATCTCAGGGTCTTGAGATTAAGCCCCGTGTTGGGCTCTGTGCTGAGCATGGAGCCTGCTTGGGATTCTCCGTCTCCCTCTGCCCCTCCTGGGCTCACTTTCTCTCTCTATCTCTCTAAATACATGCATACATACATACATACATACATACCAATCTCTAACTTGACTTCCTACAAGTCATGGACCATGTCTTAAAATTCATATCTCCACCATTTTCTAGTAGACTGGTAGACATATACAAGATGCATGATGAGTTGAAGAAAAATAAGCAGAATGAAGAAACTCTCCCTGACTTGAATGTATGCTTGAGGCATTCACTTTTTCAGATCATTGGTAACTGCTTATTTGCATGGTCAAGACAGAGCTAATCACATCACCCAGGGCTCCGAATTTTGCCAATGTCCTCATTGTTGGATAGTGTCTAAGCTACTGTGGGAGGGCTGGCCAGTGTGGGAGTTCACTGAAAGGAACAGCATGCACATCCTTCTGGTCCTTCTCCCACTTCTTGTCCCCCGAAAATCTCTAACAAATGAATTTCTCCTTCATTTGTAATGCTGAGAAATGAACATATTTCAACTTTATCAAGAGAAAACATTTTCTAAAATCTGTGGTGATCTTTTTTTTTTTTTTTTTTTTTTTAAGCAAAGGGCTTTTGATACAGAGTATAGTAATTCTCTAGGGCTGCCGTAACAGAATACAACAGACTGGGTGGGTTAAATGACGGAAATTTATTTTCTCACAGTTCTGGAAGCTAGAAGTCTAAGATCATGGTCCCAGTAGGCTTGGTTTCCTCTGAGGCTTCCCTCCTTGTCTTGTAGATGACCTTGTTTTCCCTGTATCTTCACATGGTCTTCACATGGTGTCTTACTCTCTTCTTTTTAAAAGGGTATCATTCATGGGGCGCCTGGCTGGCTCAGTCAGAAGAGCATGTGACTCTTGATCTCAGGGTCATGAGTTCGAGCCCTATATTGGGTATAGACATTATTTAAATAAATAAACTTAGATTAAAAAAAAATTAAAGGACATCAGGGGTGCCTGGGTGGCCCAGTCGGTTAAGCATCTGCCTTTGGCTCAGGTCACGATCCCAGGGACTTCAGATCAAGCCCCACGCTGTTGGGCTCACTGCTTAGCAGGGAATCTGTTTCTCTCTTTCCCTCTGCTTTGCCCCACCCTTGTGCCCTCTCTGTCTCAAATAAATAAAAAAAAAATTAAAGAACTTGGGGCGCCTGGGTGGCTCAGTCGTTAAGCCTCTGCCTTCGGCTCAGGTCATGATCTCAGGGTCCTGGGATCGAGCCCCACATTGGGCTCCCTGCTCGGCGGGAGGCCTGCTTCTCCCTCTCCACTCCCCCTGCTTGTGTTCCCTCTCTCGCTGTATCTCTCTCTGTCAAATAAATAAAAATCTTTAAAAAAAAAAAAAATTAAAGAACATCAGTCAGATTGGATGAGGACCCACCCATTCGAGGCCCTATCTCCATATACACTCACATTATGAAGGACTTCAACATAGAAATTTGTTGTGGTTGGAGGCACAATTCAGCTTATAACACAGAGATTGGGCTGTTCATTTCTCTCACTTCTGTCTTCTCTATACACTTTCAGTTTGCTTAAAATGAAGAATATTCTTCTTGGTGCAGAATCAAGTAATGCACATTGTAAGAGGCAACACTATAATCACAGTATATGATTTCATGGAAGAGTAAATCCTATAGTTCTTTTTTTCTTTAGGAACTGAGGAAGAGTGGGAATTTTAAATTATTCTTTTATGCCTGCTCTAAATGCAACCTTGGACATTTTCTCTGCATTTTCTCAAACCACTGTGGCTACTACCTTAACAAACTCGATCATTCACAAATTCACTTTTACAGTTTTCCTTCTTTTTAGATATCACCCTTTTCCCATTGTTAGCCTTTCTCATTTGGAGCTCTCCCTCTGAACCACAAAACAGAGATAACTTGAGTGACAATTCTCTCCCTTCTTCCCAGGATAGCCGGCAGCTAGTGAGAAAAGTTAATGGATTACATACAATGGATGCCTTGGGACAGTGGTTCTCAAAGTGTAGTTTCCAGGACAGAAACGTCAGCATTATTTGGGAAATTGTTAGAAATGCAATTTTGGGGCCCTATCCCAGACTTACTGAATCAGCAATGGTGGGGGATAGATGGGGTGCAGCAATCTGTGCTTTATCAAGCACTTTAGGTGACTCTCATGCTCTCTAAACCCTGAAAAGCATTGCCTTAGGGCATTAGGACTGATTCTCAAATCATCTGGAAGGACTGTAAAATTTCAAAATGTTGGGTTCCATTCTTAGAAATTTTTCCTGATGGAGATGATTCCTGTTGACACCTCGATCACACTGTACCCCTTTTGTCAAATGAACTGGTCATGAATCCATCTCCCGTCCTGTTCTTCAAGTGTAGGGACCATGTCTTGCTCTTCTTCATGTCTGTCCCAGCACCTAGAATGTTGTCTGACACATTATTGATCTTCAGTAAATTTTTGATGATGAACAAATGAAATCACTTCAAGTGTTTTGGTTTTTTTTGTTTGTGACTATAACTGTGCAGGGTGGTAGCATTTGATGACAATGATAAGCCAATTCTGAGATGGGTGAACTGGGGTTTTAGGGGAAACTACAGTCACATCAGCTCAACTATTACTGATTTACAAATGATTTCTTCCTCTAAAAGTTCACAGTGACACAGGTGTTATTAAAAGAAAATGCTTATTTGATTGGGAGAAGAGTCGGCCTGTAAATGTGCCTGGTAAACTGAATCTATCTCTTGAATTTATGACTCCCTCAATTCGTGTAACCTGAATAAATTTATCAGGCTTCATTTTAAAGATTTTTATTTATTTATTTTATTTTATTTGAGAGAAATAGAGCATGAGCAGGGTGAGGGGCAGAGGGAGAAGGAGAGACTCTCAAGCAGACTCCACACTGAGCACGGGGCTCAGTCTCAAGACCCTGAGATCATGACCCAAACCCAAACCAAGAATCAGTCGGTTAACTGACTGAGTCACCCAGATGCCCTGGCAAGTTTCATTTTAAATATTACCATTGGTCACTTCTAACCACCAGATATGGTCCTTGATTCATATGCAAGATATCCCAAAATTCTTTAACTAGAAAGACACCCCCCATTATTATTTTACTTGCAAGCTATACATTAATCTCCTTTGATAACCATCTCTTCAAAGTAAAGGTTAGTATCTTCATTTTATATTTAAAACATTGAACTTCAAAGCATAGATTTGAATGCCAGGAGGGTGCACAGCACAATTACCGGCTTTTCAAATTCCAGAAGCACCAGATATCTCTGAAATTACAGACATTTTATTTCATTTTTTATGTTTTTTTTTTACTCTCTTACAACCTAAAACAATTAGTAAGATCCACCGCCCCCTAGGCAGCATTTTATAGCCAAGTCATAAACCTCTAAAAACAGAAGTTTATGGGGCACCTGGGTGGCTCAGTTGGTTAAGCGACTGCCTTCGGCTCAGGTCGTGATCCTGGAGTCCCGGGATCGAGTCCCGCATCGGGCTCCCTGTTCGGCGGGGAGCCTGCTTCTCCCTCTGACCCTCCCCCCTCTCGTGCTCTCTCTCTATCTCATTCTCTCTCTCAGATGAATAAATAAAATCTTTAAAAAAAAAAAAAAAACAGAAGTTTATGGTGGGAATGCTGACAGTCAGACAAGACAGACCCACTACTGCAAAGCTAGTGAGTGCCAACAGACTACCTTGCCTTCCAGGGTGAGGATCAGAGCATAAATCAACCTGAGGCTGGACGGACATGACTGTGTGTTCTTGTTATCCATTTCCCATTCCCAGAAACATGAGACCATCTGTCTAACAAAAATCACATTGAAAGAGTGTTATGTGAGGCCGGTAAAGAATGACCCAAAGTGCAGAAGAGATGGGGGAGGTAAACATTCACAATTAATCCAGCTTCACCATCTGGGAACATAGAACCTCTTTAAGAAA